TGATCATAGAACAAACACAGGAAAATTGCCTTATAAAATTATCAGAAAAGTACTACATGTTCAAACTTAGTCTGTATATTTCCATAACTAACACTTAAAAAAAAAACAACAAAAAAAAAACCCTAAGTGTTGTAACTAGAATGAAGTGAGGTATGAAATGTCTCATGCTCAATTTTTGGTTAGTGACATTTTCAGATTTCTGTCCATAGAACTGCTCAAAGTGGTTATAACAACAAGAATTGAGAAGTGGCTCTTTCAGTTGACGTGTTTGAAAGGTAGCTTTGTATGAACAGCTGTGTTTTCAAAATGCTTGCCACCTCTAAATTGGTCCTTGTGAAGTGAACTGTTTGCCTTATTGTCAGCAGGGCACATTGCAGTATAGCTGTTGCATTTTTAGTTTTTATCACTGTCTCTCTAACTGCTGAAGTGGAAAAGAAAGATTGCCAAAACCTGACATGTATCTTTTCCATTCTGCCCACTCTGACTTGGTTCTTAGCTGTCTGTTGCTCCAATGATGAGAAACGTTGCTCAGTTTATTCCTTCGCTGAATGTCTTTTCCAGCTCAAATAATGGTGATACCCTCTTGCAAACCAAGGCTCCAGCTGTCAATCGCAGTAAATGAAACAAACCTAATTAAGATATACCAGTCATTGTCGACACAAGGGATAATTAGGCTGCAAAAAGTCACACACATCAGGGTGCATTTTTCTAAAAGCAAGAGACACACCATATTTAGTAAGACAGTAAGTATGGATTGCAACAGGGATGGACTTCCAGAAGAAACTAAATAACCTGTCTACAAAGATTTAAACAGTTTTAGGACAGAATTTCTAGTACAGGAAAACAATAATGAAAACACTGAATATCATTACTAATAAGCACTACTAACTTTTTAGATGCAGACTCTATGCAGACATTTCAATTGCAGACATTAGGAAGCAAACCATACCGTTTTATCTGGATGAGGAAATACAACTACAATCAGAGTGCACACAAAGATTTATAAATGCAGCTGGGTGAAAAATTACATCAAAGACTCCAAAACTATGGTGCACAGCTCCTGCTGCTGCTTGTTTGAAAACCATAGTAGGTACAAGTTCTAAGATTCACTTGCATCACGTCAAAAAACTTCAGAGGTCACTAAAACCCAGTAACAAAAAAGCTACAATAAAAATATTATTTTTGCTTAATGGATAAAGCTGACATAACTGCATTATTTGAAAGAACCTTTTTTTTTAAAAAAAAGAAAATACGTACTTTTGCACAGAAACCTCAGTGTATGTAAGTCCCAGATACTTTAAATACTACTCAAAGGAACAGGCCAAATAACCTTCAGGATCTCTTTGTCCTTCTTATTAGTACCTTTAAAACTGAACATTTGAAATGCAAAACTTTCACATAAAACTCCAGATGGTACAAAGCACTTATCTTTAAAGCACTGGAACCCACTAATAAAAATTCTGAAAATCACTAATAGTAAGAGTATTTAAATTTAATTTTTATTTAGTGCCCTCAGTACATATTTACTATTATCAGTACACTAATGAAGAAAGGGAATCAATGCATTCCCAAAGTTCAAAGCATCACAAAGTTAAATGCTTATTTTCCAGTACAAGCATTTATCTCTGTGACTCTCCATTCTTCAAGGAAATTGAACTTCAATTACAGTTTATAGTGTTCAGTGCAAGATATAAATTTACATAAGGCTTATTTTGTTACAGTAAACTGCAGCTCACTACTGAGTTCAAAATTGTTTATACACATCTTGAGGTTACAAATTAATCACATACACACAGACACACAGATATAATCAATACAACCAGTTGGCATAAGCAAAGTCATACTGCATAACTTCATTCTGGGTTTTGATTTCTTCAAGTGAGACCAGAAAACCTAACATCAGCAATCCATGTTTTCTTACCTTCTTTGTCAACATTGTATATCAGTCACACAATACTACTATTACAAACAAAAAAGACCAACAAAAATGTTTTGCCACTCAAATGATTCTGCACATTTTTTGCTGTGCATTTCACTACTTCACTTTTTTGTGTACTACGTCATACGATGTGTACTGCAGTCATATGATTTAGTTTTAGGCTGTCCTGTGAGGAGCAGGGAGTTGAACTTGATGATCTTCATGCGTCCCTTCCAATTTGAGATATTCTGTTCTATGATTCTACGATCTCCATAGCCACTGTGGATGTCTATATTCTTTTATTCCACACCTTGAATGACAGTTAATACCAAATATTTTACATGTAAAACTATACATGGATATGCCACTATTTAAACCAAAAATCTTTCTGATGTGAAATAACTTATTTTGGAACAATGATTCTGCAGGCTGGGAGAGAGCGTGAAAATTATTCTACAATCTGTTATTCAAGGCACTCAACCCCAGTGAATATTTTACACAAGGCAGAAGCACTTTAACTAGAGAAATAAGATTTATGCTAGAACACCATATGAGCTTGAGCCGGTGGCTTATTAGCTGGAGCATTCACCAGAAAGAGAAAAGACATCAGATTAAATCATAAAGGAAAAGAATTTCAGCCTGGATCTCTCACCTCTCATTTTTTGCTGCCTTTTGCGGAAAGCCCGTATGACATGAAAATGTCCACTGGTGTCCTTGTTTTTGGCTTGAGAATCCCACAGAAACTGAATTATAAACTCAGGAGCAGTGCAAACTCAAATCCAGGCAGATGTGGGCTCTATGCATGTGAAAATATAGTAGTTTATGTGTTTTAACTGGTACAACCTCTCAGGTACTCGGGACACACATGGAAAGTCCATCTTGTTCCACATCCGATCTTTCACAGTGGCCAACAGCAAATATGCAGGGAGGAGCAGAAAATCAGGCCAGCTATGTAGTTATGCTTCCCCAGAATACTTTCCCAGTACCTCTATTGAGCAGAAGTCCCTGAGCATCTTAGAACCAAACGCTGAGAATAGAAACCTGCAGTAGCAGTCTGTTGAATCTCAATTAATTTACTATTCAGGTAAGATTTCCAATGACCTTTCAATTACTAGAAGCTTACGTTTTGCAGTTGCCACACTTAGAGATACATTTTTAATATACAATCCAAATAAAATCCCAGAAGTCAATGGGTCATGTGCTTTAGAAAGTGCATCAAGAACACGACTCAAAATTTCCTGCCATGGCCACCCTCTTTTCTCCCTGCATAGTAAATTACAATGGTGCACTTGGCATAGAATGATTTCTACTGAGTTGTTTAGTAAATAGGACAGATACAGGTGTATCAACTTGCCTGCTGGTGGCAAAATAAAGAGTAAGTTATAGGCATTAACTATCCAATGCAAACCTTCATTTTTCTGCAAGCCTCAAGTTCATCTCATTTCCCAGAACAAAGGAACAGATTACATTTTTACTATTTCAATCAATATGTCATTTCAGTATAAACTGGGCCATTTGCATAAAAACATATTATTAATCCTCAAAACAGCAGAATGTTTTCTGTATGTTTATCTCACACATTGTCTGTTCACTTTATTAATACACTCACATATTAAAATAAAATATGAAATGTCCGTAACACAAACAGCAGCCTCAAAGATTTGCCAGATGTACTTCAAATTGGCCCAATGCTCATGTCACTCAACATGGCCTAGCACCTTTCCTCTGAGCTGATATGGAATGCTTATGTGGTCAATATACCCAGTCCTCCTGTGCCTGGGAAGGAAAACTAAAATCCAAATCGTTGACACTTGACTTTTGCAATTCTGTCTGTCTATACCAGCAACACTTCAAAAGTTATTTATCAATGTCAATGAAGCATTGATCTCTTACAGTTTGCAAACAATGTCACTGCGAATTTTAACACTAAAGGCAGGGGAGAAAGGCCATAAATGTGCATCACATGACAGTCTTCTGAGACACAGTCCAATTAAAGTTAGTGTGAAGTCGATATATTCTGAAGTAAATGAAGCAGTTAATGTGTACTACTTCATGTACGAAAACACAGAAGCTTTCACATTATATGGCTTGCAACACAATGTACACACTAAGTAGGATTTTTTTTTCTCCACAAAAGCAAGTACATACCAAAAACATGTCTGGAGAGAACACATCTGATGCTTCACGATGCTAAGTTCTCAGACTTTACTATATTTTGGGACATGAAGGCAATCTGCAACTTCACAGCAAATTTCAGATGCTTACAGAGCTACAGACCAAAGAAGCAATTGCTAGTGTAAATTTTTTTTCCTTCTTATCACTCTAAAGACACTTTTCCATTATTATTAATCCTTGCAATTGAAGTCATTGAAGGCAAAATAAGCAACCCAGTAATTAGCCTGAATTTGCCAAGATGACAAGTTATTTATCATGAGGTACATACTTCTTTCTAATTATCACTTTAAAGAAAAAAAACAAGTTTTCTTCCTAAGCAGCAGCTACAAAAATAATTAGAAAGTAATAAAACCTGTGGATTATCAGTTTGGTATGTTTTTGTACAAATATCTCACAGGCTTGCCTACGAATGTCATCATTAGGAATGTGTATTAATTCAAACATTCTATTTTCCTTTGATTACACATAAATTATAGTCTTTATATTTATAAACTTCACGTTCAAAAGTTAAATATTCATGCTCTGTAGGATTTTGCTCAGTGTTTACATTTTCAAAGCCAACAGAACTCAGTCTGCTCCTAGTGATAACTGAAAGAAAAAAGAAAATATTTTAAAGGAGCATAAAATATATAGAAAAATCTCACTGATACATTTTGCTTTATACTTTGTGGATCTTCATCTTTCTGTAGAGCAATGCTCCGCTGGATGCAAGACAAGCTACAAGTCTGAAGATATATTACTATATTAACTTCATTTATGCTATCTGGATACCACTACAATACTCTAGGCACCACAGTAATTTTCTTTTCTTACTTGCAATAACTAACATTAGAGAGCAAAAGATGGCTAAATTAATTTATAACTTTATAGTTTCCTCTACTAATTATTTCCTCTTCTTATATTTTAGGTCATCCTGTCATTCCTGCAAACACTAATCAATCATGGGATTTGAAGTTAATACTACTAAATAAATGAATTGCTTAATCTCCTATGACCATCTATACATACTTCACCTTCACAAAGCTTATAAATTTTATGTCATCAAGGACAGAGTGACCTTCATTTCCACAAAATGCCTCTTATTACTGGACAAGCTGGTTACAAATTTATCACTTATCCACAGGAAGAGAGTCCTTCACCATCATCATTTGACAAATGCACGTCTGTGTTTTATCAATTGACCAGGTCATACTGAATTCCAGAACCATAATTGTGGAATACTATATGGTCTCTTTCTTTTCTGAACATTTGAGCTAAGATGAAGGACATGCAACTCAAAATTAATCTTCTACTTGGCCTAGTTATCACTGCACTAGTACAAGCTGTAGAAAAAAAAGCAGACTGCCCAGAGTCATGCATATGTGAGATCAGACCATGGTTCACCCCCATGTCTGTGTACATGGAGGCTCCAACAGTCGACTGTAATGATTTAGGCCTTCTTAATTTTCCAGCCAGACTGCCTGCTGACACAAAAGTTCTACTTCTACAGACTAATAATATTGCAAAAATCGAACATTCAGTAGACTTCCCAGTGAATTTAACTGGTCTAGATTTATCTCAGAACAATTTATCTTCAGTGACCAGTATTAATCTTAGAAAGATACCACAGTTGCTTTCAGTGTATCTTGAAGAAAACAAACTTACTGAACTCCCTGAAGAATGTCTCTCTGGACTCCACAATTTACAAGAGCTTTATATTAATCACAATCTGCTTTCTGTGATTGCACCGGGAGCTTTCATAGGCCTCAATAATCTTCTAAGACTTCATCTCAATTCAAATGGTCTGCAAATGATCAACAGGAAGTGGTTTGAAGCTACTCCTAATCTTGAAATTCTCATGATTGGAGAAAACCCAATAATCAGAATCGAAGATATGAACTTTAAGCCTCTTATCAATCTGCGCAGCCTAGTTTTAGCAGGCATAAATCTCACTGAAATACCAGATAATGCTTTGGCTGGCCTTGACAATTTAGAAAGCATCTCCTTTTATGACAACAGATTTGTCAGAGTGCCCCACATTGCTCTTCAAAAAGCTACAAATCTTAAATTTCTGGATCTAAATAAGAATCCCATTAACAGAATACGACGAGGAGATTTTAGCAATATGCTGCACCTAAAAGAGTTAGGAATTAATAACATGCCCGAACTGATTTCTATAGATAGTCTTGCTGTTGATAATTTGCCAGATTTAAGAAAAATAGAAGCTACCAATAACCCCAGATTGTCATACATTCATCCAAATGCATTCTACAGACTTCCCAAGCTGGAATCACTCATGCTCAACAGCAACGCGCTGAGTGCCCTGTACCGCAGTACAATAGAATCCTTGCCTAACCTCAAAGAAGTTAGTATACACAGCAATCCCATTAGATGTGATTGTGTCATCCGCTGGATTAACATGAATAAAACAAACATTCGCTTCATGGAGCCAGAGTCCCTGTTTTGTGTAGACCCTCCTGAATTCCAAGGCCAGAATGTGAGACAGATACACTTCCGGGAAATGATGGAAATCTGTCTCCCCCTGATAGCTCCTGAAAGTTTTCCATCTACTCTGGATTTAAAAACTGGTAGTCATATTTCCTTGCACTGCAGAGCAACAGCAGAACCAGAACCTGAAATCTACTGGATAACACCATCAGGACACAAACTTCTGCCTAATACTATTTCTAATAAATACTACATTCATTCTGAAGGAACATTAGACATAAGTGATGTAACACACAAAGAAAGTGGCTTATATACATGTATAGCCACAAATTTAGTTGGGGCAGACCTAAAGTCAGTCATGATTAAAGTGACATAAAATCTAATTCTGTTTTGGTTTCATGGAAAGCAAGTACTAAAATTCTGAAGTCCAGTGTTAGATGGACAGCATTTCTGAAAGCCGAAAACTCTCACGCTGCACAGAGCGCTCGAATACCATCTGATATAAAGGTATATAATCTGACACGTCTAAATCCATCAACTGAGTACAAAATTTGTATAGATATTCCCACTATCTATTCACAGAATAAGAAACAATGTGTCAACGTAACCACAAAAGGACTGGACTTGGCAGTGAAAGCCTATGAAAAGAACAACATAATAGGACTCCTTGCCTGCCTTGGTGCTCTTTTGGGAATCATTTCTGTGGTATATCTCTACAGCTGCATCTCACGAGAGATGAACTATGATGCTGGACACAACTATCTAAAGAACTACCTGAAGAAACAATCCTTTTCAGTCAATGAGTTTTATCCTCCTCTAATCGGTCTTTGGGACATGGGCAAAGAAAAAAGCACAGTAATGGAAGTAAAAGGAACTGTAATAGGTGTACCAACCAATATGTCATAAAATGTCAGTGTAACACTTAATTTCTGAATTAAAAGCACATGACTGCATTTGTGCTGAACAAAAAGGCAAAAAGAAAAAGTATTTCTTTTACGAACTAGATGCCTGAACTTTGCTGCTGCTGACAAATGGAAATATCTACCGACTCAGCATAAAAGAAGAATTTTAACTAACTGGCTTCTAAGGGTATTCTACCAACCAAATACAATTAACTTCATTTTCTAGAACTTTCACGGGACTTTTAAGTCTGGAATTCAGTGCAAGTAGCCAAGAACATTTTCTGTATTTTTTTTATTATTATTATATAAAAATAGTGGAACTGAGCGATACCTCCTCCTGTGCTGTATTACACACACTAGCCACGAGTTTTTGCAGTGAACAGATATACTAGGATTGACACATGATGTAATGAAATGGACAAATTCTGTAGAGTAGACACAGTGAGTATGTGAATTTTTTTTATGAGGAAAATACATTTTTGATTAAAACCAAAATAGTTTTTGGCTTGTTTGTTTCTAAAAAAAACGTTCTGGGAGCTCTTGCCTGACAATAAACAAACTCATTCTAATGTCTGATAAAATATCTCCTTACATATTCTGCTGTAAAAATGCCAGTCTGAGTATATAGGATATTTTTCCTGGTTTTATAACTGCAATAAATCACAGAACAAATATTTTTATAAAGTATTTACCCATAATAAAACCAAACATATTTTAAACATTGCTTATTGTGGGAGGAAGAAGAGAGGAGGAGGGTGGGAATGAGACATGAGACTTAAGAAATAGATTGTTAGCTATTGATAACAGCAAGTTCTGAGCTGCTTTGGTATTTTCCCAGAAGCTTGAAAACTAAATGCAATGTTCAGACTCAGATACTATAAATCCAATATTTTGTCTTCAGTCAAAAGGGTAATTCCGTTATTAGTAATGTCTAAACTTTAGGCTGGCCATAGAGGGAACTCAGATAGCTTGAACAGTTTAAATTATATAAAGGTTTTCTTTCTAGACCTGCACGCTTCTGTTCAGCAATAACAACAGAGTAGTCTATAAACCTCCTCAGCTTTCACAATGTAATAAGCAATAAATGACTGGCAGAAACAGTATTAGTAGAAATGAAATGAAACAAAATTAAAAGAGAACAATGAATACCTGACTATTCATATTGAAGATAAAGTTCTCATGGGAGTAGGACTGCGCCTGTAAGCAGCAAATGTGCACAAGAAGCTGCAGACCAGAATGTTGATTACAAAAATAAACTAAATTCTTCAGGATGGAAAAAGTGACTGCTCCTATGCCGTGTAGAGAAAACACATCTGGCCATTAAGACACCTGATGAAAAGACATCTGACCATTAAGACACTTGATGAAAAGACATGCTACCTCCTGACAAAGAAAACAACAGCAAAATTTTTATGTTATTTTGGTTCATATGTATGAAACAAATAGGAATAGTGAAGGAAAAAATATCTTATCACTGAATATTGTGCTTAAGGAAGTAAATATTCACAGAATGCATAGGTAACCTGAACTACAAAGTAAAAAAACGAGTAACAAACATGTCTTGTAAGTCTTCAGTAGACTTTAACATTTTTTAAACTCTATAATAATAAAAATTTTATCTTTCCAGACTCAGTCAAAGTAAACATTTCTGTGTAATTGCTGGTAGAATTTTTGTAGGTAGAAAAAGTCTTGTATTTAGACATTTAACTTTTCCTCTTATTTATAGTTTGCTGCATACTTTCAAAATATTACTGGTCCATAAACACTTAAACATGGAAAAATAATTTCATTTTCCCGAGTACTAATGAATAACTTGCTTTCCTGTTAAAGATGTCTTTTTTCTAAATCCCAAGATTTTTAGATTATGTAAAGACAATTTCCAAAGTTGTTACAGGCAGAAAGAAGAACCTGATACTCATTTTAAACTACCAAAACTTAGGATATCCATAGAGTTGATATGTTTCACCAAAGAAGGTAGTTTACCAACCCGATGAATGGCTCCAGCACATAAAGGCACACTGAAACCGAGCAGAGAAGTGCTGCGACGGTGTGAAAGATTCCAGAACCACGGACAGCTCCTGGCGCGGAGCTGTTCCTCCGGCAATGGGCGCTCAATTGGGACCCACCACTACGCAGATCTTGTACTTGTCAGCCAGAACTTGTAGGTATATCTTGTGTGTTTACCTTTGGAATCTAGCTACATTTAGAACTTTTAACTCTTAGAGCTCAAAAACGAGCTAATCTAATTTTTTCAATCAAAAACATCTCTGCACAACGTTATAAAACAGCACACAAATGCAAGTCTAATGGGTAGCACTGATAAGAAGACTTTTTCCCCTCTCACAGAATAAATATAGGCTTTATTTACTTATTCAAACATGTCATTAAAAGTTTTTGTTAAGAGATAAAGTGCATTTTTCTATAGAAGGATTCTCATACTAAACTTTTGAGAGCTGAAATGTGACTAGATAAATCTCACACATACTGGAATCATTCTACACCTTATACTGATATCAAATCAAAATATAACTTACATTTTAAGAAATATGTTATCCGTAGCTAATTGTTATGATGCAAGTGACTTCCTTTATATCCCAAAAAAAGAGAAATATAACTGCATTTTCTTAAAGTAGCTTTTCACTCATCCTCTCACATCACCTTAAGCAATTTTACAAATTTGTACCTTCATTTCTCTGAAAATATCTCTGAAAGAATATGCGGAGCTTTTGTTTTCGGCATACCAACAAGATGCATCTCCTGTAACTACCATCACTCAGCAATATTCTTTATTTGTGCAAACATGCCTTCACTGCTATCACTCAAAAGTGAAACATTGTCACATACTAGGAAAACGTCCATAAGAACAAAGTCAAGAGTGTCTCTACAATAGATTATGAGAGCACAGATTTTTAATGACTTAGAATAAAACATTTGTGATTTGGTAGAGGTGCTTGACTGATGGGGTACAAAGAAGAAATACAACTGCAATAATGAGAACAGGGATATCTCTTCAAAGAGTTGTCACTCTTACCAAAGGGTCTGCAGAAAAAAATGCTTGCAGATTTAGATTAAAATTTTAAAAAGACATACTTACTAGCCTATTCGAGTTAATATCAACATCTATTTATTCATTAAATTATATGTCAACAACATCGTAACTCTTCATTATTCCACTGAGGTTGTAAATACCTTTAAACTAAAATTTTACATGTTTCTAAAGGAAACATAAGTTTAGTGATTTTTTTTGATCAAATTCTATTTACTGTAAGAACATGTTAAAGGCAAAAATCATGCTGGAGGCGAGGTTGTTTAAACCCACTTAAAACAGATTTCTACATGTATATGGATTAATGAATGGTTGTTTGATCATTTTGTCATATTCAGTTCTGTGTGTGAAGTACATCTGTTCTATTAGCAACATATTAGCCTGTCTGCAGACCTTTCTTCCATTATATCTGTATTGCATTTTATCTACTATGCAAAAGTAGTATCTTGTAGAACACATGGCAATGCTTTCAATGGTAGTACTGTGAACCACCTACTATCCATACAAACATAAATCTTTAATATCTGCACAGAAACACCTCCATGACATTACCCTAAAAAATCTCTGAAAAGACTCATTATTTCTCCATGACCAAAGACACTCTTCATGTTAAAATCCCCACAGAAGCTACAGGGGAGCAGTGGGATTTTGTGTAGCTGTATGTAAATATGGATAGTTGTTCCTTCCACAGATATACTACTCTAAAAACCTAAGAGTCCTTAGGAAGCAATAAATCCACCTCTTATCTTTAATAGCTTAGTGTATCTTTAACTTATATCACTTTACAGACATATACCAAAAAAATCTAACAATTTTTTCAGCAAAGTAGAACCTGTTAAAAAAGTATAGGAAGAACTTCCTGATAGTGCTATAGCAGACTTTTCAATAAACTCTTCATTTACAGGAAGGTTGTTTTTTCCACACAAGGCATAGGGCTAAACTTTCAGTCTTTCATTAATTGGGATGTTTTTTCTCTTTAATAGAGGTAGGAACTGACAATGAGCTATATATAGTGTCCTCAGAAACAGAAAAGCAGTGTTATACACCTGTGTTTCCATTTATTTAATAGTTTTCTCTCAGGAGTCCAATGCCTTAAAAGCAGTACTTACTGATTATTCAAAGCAGAAAACAGTAGTTCAGAAATAGATTAACTTCATCTTGGCATTTGACAGCAAACCTCATTCTGAAACATGCTACTAATGAAAGAGAGAAAGCAAACATGAGCGTTTGAAAAATCTGGCTAGGCAATACCCAAAACAGAAGACTGAAAAGACTTTTTAATTCAATTTTTCAATTCAGTTACCTTACTTTTTTCTATCAGCTACTAGACTGAAAAGTAGTGTTCTATTCATAAAAAGATTACTTCTCGGTAAAACATTTACAAAAATCAGTTCCAATATTCCATCAGCTAACACAGCCAAATGCTAAATTACATATGTACATATAAGTTTCTGTTTCAGCAACAGTGATGTGAAATCATAAATTCAAATATTAGCTAAAAAAATTAAAGATCACAGAACAAATGTTGATTTACATCCTAAAAGGAAATTTCTACTTCCAGAATTCACTAATAAAATTCATTCTGCTTGTGTAACCTTAAGTAGTGATGTCAAGATATCTTAAAAAAGAAACGGAGATTCTTCCCTCAGTCTTGTTCTGGCCAGTAATAGAAGAGACACAATGACCAAAAATAATCTTCTAAAACATTCTTTGTTATCTGAAACCAGAAGAGACATTTCAGAAAAAGGTGCCTATACCGTCTAGAAAATAAGTTGACATAGTAGACAGTACCAGAAGACTTGAGGTTCCAGAGAGAAAAAAAAACCAAAAAGTATCACTCTGTCAGACTTTAGGAAGAAAACAATTCTTATTAATGAACTGAATGGAGTAAAACGAGAGTGGAGGTGTGGCACTGGCAAGAGAAGAAACTTTACATAGCAGAAAGTGTACAATAAGTATGAAAAGTTCAGTATGAAAACTAGAAATTACATTTTGAAGGATATAGTTAGATGGAGTAGAGAAGCTAGCCATTGAACATAAACCACTAGAGATAAACCAAGACTAACAATTCACTTCATGCTAAAGATGGAAAATGTGCTTGGAAACAGATTAACAATTGCATACAACTTTTGTAGATGTAAGAAACAAGATGAGTAGAAACATACCCAGACTAAAAAATTACTGGTGTTGCCTACTGAGGATTGGGACACTTCAACACACTGTAAATTATAGAAAGACATTCTGAATAAAATTGTTGGGGAAGTGATAGATGCAAGTGATATTTTTAGAGCATCTTTGGGTCCCACGAGCAACAGTAGAAAGATGTTGGAATAAACTGCTAGGCAGAAAAAAAGAAAAAAAAAAAAAAAACATCTTTCTGCAATATTGGTTGACCTTCCAAACGAATTCTTTCGATAGGTCACTTCGTTGACCTACCAAAAGTGTAATTAG